ACTCATTCCACCACTGCTTTCAAACCTCCAAGGTCTTCCTATTTCTAATGAGATGAAATCTAAGCACCTACATTGCAGGCTGTCAGAATTGGTCCTTAGGAACCTTTTCCTGCAGGATTTTCCACCAAAGCAAACTGCCTCTGTGCAGAACTTCACACCATTGCCTGACCAACTTGGCTGCTTCCTGGCCCCAAGCATTGGCACTCACCATTTCCTTTGCCAAAAGTCCTGTCATGCCTCTTTGTTATTCAGAAAGCACCTGTACATCCTTTTAAACACAGCCCAAATATCCCTTTCCCTCAGGAAGCTTTCCCAGTCCCCTTCTATGTCTCCCCTCAGTCCCTTGTATTTCATATTTGTTTTGTGTCCATCTCTAACACAAATCCCTGACACAGCCTCTCCATCAGCATTCATCACATAAATGAACATTTGATTAATGACCAAGTGCATTCTATTTTTACAAGTGAAGAGGTGCAGGAAAGTTGAGAGTAAATTGGCATTGGCTGCATCATTTACCAGGCACCTTGCTAAGTGTCAGGAATAGAATGGTAAAAAGGAACACAAATTTGGCTATTAAGAGCTTTCAGTCTTTCAGGATAGGAATCTAGTAATCACACAAATGTAAAGTTTCACATGTAACAAATACTTTAAAGAGAAGGTATACATGTAACAGTTCCTAAATTTCTGTTGCTATGGCTGTGTAACAAATGAGCCCTTGACAGTCCCAGCACTTTGGGAGGCCAAAGCGGGGGGATGTCTTGAGGCCAGGAGTTTGAGACCAGCCTGGGCAACATAGCAAGATCCCATCTCTACAAAAACATTAAAAAGAAAGAAAAATGGAGAGAAAAAATAAAAACATTGTAAGGTCTGGGCTTTCTGTAAAAGAAAAGAAAAGAAAAAAAAAAGGCAGTTAAGACTTAGTGTAGCAGGACGAGCCGCAGACAAAACCTCTCAGACACTGAGTGGTGGAAGGAAGGGCTTTATTCAGCTGGGAGCATTGGCAGGCTACTGCCTTAAAATCCAAGCTCCCCAAGGGTACAATTTCTGTCCCTTTTAAGGGCTCACAACTCTAAAGATTTCACATGAAAGGGTCATGATTGATTTGAGCAAGTAGGGGGAATGTGACAGGGGCTGCATGCACCAGTGGTCAGAGTGAAGCAGAACAGAGCAGAGAGTTTCACAATGTTCTTTTATACAATGCCGGGAATCTATCGATAACATTGGTTTCTACGTCATGAGTTGATTTTTAACTGCTAGGTTTAGGCCAGGCAGGCCCACGCCTGGTTTTGGGCCTGGTGCTGAGCTGCCTGTTTTTGGTTTTACTTCCTTGTTTTTTCTTAAAACAGGTACTGAGTATAAAACAATATAAAACAATATGAGAGGGTCTCTCTCTTTCCTCATTTCCCCCCTTTGAGACTCTCACTTTTTATTAGTGGGAGTTCTCGCTCTTATTTTTGTTACTTATGTCTTTTTGTGCAATAGATTGATAGTGATTTATATAGTACACTTGTGCTGAAGCATTTTGGTGAACTAAGGTAGGAATGAAGTTTTTTATCATTTGAAGAAGTACAGGTAGCAAACAAGGGAGCAGTCAGCAGGTTTTTATTACTATTATGACTTTTATAGTAAGAGTTTTAAATCCTCCTAGTGCTGGGAACTAATTTTTAAACATGGCTTCAGGGTCGAATTCGTGCTACACTTGTATGGGCACGTGTGTTGGTTTTGTCATATTTTTAGCTATGTCTTTAACTACTTGCCTTTGATTATCTATGTGTAGACAGTAATTAGTAAAGTTAAATTTTTTATAGACCTCTTTTTCAGCTGCTAGCAAGTAGTCCAAAGCCAATCTGTTTTGATAGATAGCATTTCTTATCTGAGTTTCTTGCCAGGCCAGAATAGTCAAAACTTGCCCGGATTTATTAGTGATGATTTCTAAAACAGCTTGCAACCGTATGATTCGGTTGAGCATGTAAATGGGGGTCCAGTATCCCCATGAGCCATCTTGTGTCTGAGTGGCAGGTCTATAGTATTATATAATATTTTAGGAGGTCATTTACCATCTTTCCAATTACCTATGGCTATGCTTTGTTTTCCAAGGGAAGCATAGACAGGGAAGTCCAGGAGTTCACCTGTTTTATGGGCAGTAGGAAGAAAGATGGTTTAATAGTGCCAATAACACAACTACCTGTCCACTGGTCAGGCAGCTGAGCGTAGGCTCTATGTCTACTTATCCAGTATAACCTGGTGGGGACAGTCCAGTCCTGTGGAATTCTGGG